AGTAGTAGTAGGAGGAGGAGTAGTAGGAGTAGTAGGAGTCGGGCCTGTTGCTCGCTGCGCCAGTACTTGGGGGTAAAGCATTTTGGAACTGTCCTGCTGCTCTTAACATCAACATCAGCACCAACAGCACCAGCACATCAACACCACCGACACCAGCACCAAGACCACCACAAACCAACACCAGCACGAACACCAACGACGCTGACAACACCAGCGACACCAGCCTCAGAAGGTGAACAAGAATTCCCAGAACCTTATTGTACGAAGAGAAGCTATACGGGTACTGCGCAAGGGGCTTGGTGATACGGACCGCGGCAGGGCCAGGAAACGCAGTGTAGCTAAGCAGTGGTGATATTGAGAGTAGCAGTTGGCAAGACTCTTCATCACAGGGTGCCTCCCTGGCTAACGGCTGATTCGGCTTCAGCTATCTTCCATTTGGCATAGTTTGCACTTGTCGATATACACTTCTATTGCAAGGAGAAGCAGGGCTTGGACTTCAATTTCCTGCTTGCGGATCTCAGCCAGCAGGCTGGGTCCTTCAAGATGATTCGTAGTCGGTTGAGCCGAACAGGTGGCGAGATCGTCCAAGATCGCCCGAGTAGATTAGAACAGGCTTACAGCAAGTACTTCCATGTCGACTGGGGCACACGAAGCCCGCAGACGGGTCAGAGGGCTGGACATTCCTGCAATGCTGCGAAAGTCCAGGGTCATACCGGAGCGCGGTTTTGCAATGCTTTCGAAATCTTTGCCGGACAGGTTTCGCGAGGGGCTTGGAGGGATGACGGTCGTCAGCTCAGTGTGACAGTCATCTGTTGACTGTGCATTTTCGGATGGGGGCAGCAGGCATATTTCAGTTGTGGCTCCACAGCTCGCAGCAAGGCAACATTCCGACACTGACGACGGGCTGTTGTTTTTACAGCTTCAGCCGGCATCGCCCCTTCGTAGGAGAGGAGTGCCTGAGCCTCCTGGCGACATAGACATGCTTCTCTGAGTGTGCATCGCCGTCACAGTAAACTGGGCTGTAGATTAAATGCGTACCTGCCCGGCTACCTTCAGTCTCTCCCTCCCATCTCTCGACCACAGCTTGGAGCACTCCAATGCTTTCAGTATATACTGGGGCTTTCCTAGGACTCAATGGCTTCCCATTGGACGAGATGAACCTGGGTGCCTTAGTCAGCATGCTAGCAACGAAAGACTTTGTCTTCAGTTTGCCCTCGTGGGCTTGTGAGTAGAGTTATGACACTGAGTGCAGCACAGGCGCGGTGTTTCTGGCAAATCTCACTTGCTGATTCAGCCGGAACGTTTGTTGCGCTGAGATCACCACACGGAGAACGAACTGATCTTCCTCGCGGGTAATGCAATGTCTGTGCTACTCGGCTACAGTTACAGGCAACATAGGCGGCTTGCGCCGTCTGCCTCAAAGGACCTGGAAGGAAGAGATCGGCAGAGCTTTCTCCAGCAGGTTGCTATACAGTGCGGGCTGCATAGACAACATGCACAGGTATACCAACAGACAAGGAGACCAACACAACAAAGGAACAAACCAGCAAACGAAGAAGCACACAAGCATACCCGCGTAGACACAAGCAAACGAGCAATTAAGAAGCAAGCAGACAATGATTCCGCTGTTCGTTCTTTCATTCAAGTCACTCATATGTACTGACATGCATGCGTAAATACGCAGCCCCGAGAAATGCCTACATTCCTGAATGCAAGCATGCACACATACATGCATGCAGACAGACAGACAGACGGAGACAGCCAGACAGACAGACGGAAAGATAGGTAGACAGACATAACACACTCGCACGCTGCCTGGCGCTGCTAGAAACTCTGAATGCAACGGAGAGAGAAAGAGGTGTAGCCATTTTGGCTCAAGCCGTGAGTGGTTCAAGCCACGCTGAGGTGCACTCCAGAGCCCAGTTCCTTCTCTCCTTTTCTTTAGGCACCTCGGGGGGCAAACCCGAGCGCTTGACCTCAGGAAACTCCGCTCTTGCCCTTTCCTTTCCAGCTAACGCATTGCGGGACCGGGTGTGCGGCTTGATCGCTCTCTTCCAGACGCAGGTTGTGTCGCGCGACTTCGGCAGGTTCGGTTCAGCACGGCAACCGCAGCTGCCCCTGTTCTTTCAGGACTTTGCCTTCAACTACCTGACCGCAATCGGCGGCCTACTCCGGCACTACCTCGTCCAGAAGATTCCGCCGGGGGAGTACCTCGAACGGGATTACCACTCGGGCGTGATCGAGAACTATCTCGGGAACACTGTGAATACAAACTTCCTGGTGGCGATGAGTGAGTCGGGGGAGACCCCCAAGCATCCCACATGCCGCCGCTGCCGAGAAGGGCCCTCAGGCCACAAACGAGGCGACCCAAAGTGCCAGCTGCACGGGTGCCTCCACTGAGCCCGCTGACATTCAGGCCTTTCTCCGCACCAAGGCGATTGAGACCGCAAGGATGAACGCCATCAAGGAAGCAAGGGACCGCCAGGCCAAAGGACAACCCCTTTTGGACCCAAGCGATGGGCAGCACCAGCAAATGCAGGATGACGACTCCCTTTGCGAACGCTGTGTCCGGGGACCTTCCTTTCACGGCGCCCACAACAGGAATGCACCCAACTGTGGCCGCAACCCAGAGCCTCGCCCATTCGGGGGGTCATCGACTCTGAGCCCCGGCATGGCGTGCCCACGAGCATAGAGTAGGAGTAGGGCCAGTAGGGTAGGCGACACGACTCAAGCCCCACGGGGCTCCGTGCTTTGAAAAACCCTGAAACCCCCCCTCCATAGCCCCTAAACCCTAAAATCGAATAAAAAACTCCTTCCAGTCACGTTTGTTTTGTTTTACAAAGGGACCACGGGTCCTTAAAATAGCTAGGGGAGTGCTTGATTTTGTTCCTTGGAGCTTTTTTGAACCCGCACCGCACGTCAAGGGCACTGCAGTGTAGCTGGGGTCGGTGGGCCGGCTTTTGCACGTCTTCGACTGGTCTGGAGCCCAGAGCTTGTTGCGCAGGAAGGTGTGCGGTAGGAGTGCTGGTAGGAGTGCAGGTCTAGGAGTGCAGGCGTGTCGGCTGCCATGGAGTGCCCGGCACTGCTGCCCGACCTTTTAAAACTAGAGTGCCCTGCAGCCCGCCCCTTCCAGGAACCCCGGCCCCTCTCCTGTTCCCAGGTTTCCTTCATCGCGGTCTTCATCTTCTTCAATGCGGCCGTCCGAGCCTCTGCCTGCGTTGGGGTTCTGCCTGCTTTGGAAGCCAAGCTTGTGCGCGAAGCTGTCGCTGCAGGTAGGACTTTTGGGTAGTTCAGATGTCACTCCGCGTTCGTGTCTCGCTTTTGAGCGGGCGTTCTGCGACCCTGGAGGCGGCCGAAGGGGAGTCTTCGGAAACGTTGGCCCAACGCGCGCAGACCGCGCTTGGGGTCGGAAAGGGCCGGCCCCAGCGGCGAAGTTTTGCCGAAGCGCCCTCGACTGCAGGACGGCGACGCACTGACCCTGGAAGTCGTTCAGACGCGCGTGGTGGCCAACAGCCGCGCTTTTGCAGCCATCTTCGGAGATGGCTCGGTCCAGACCTATGGCGACCCAGATGTCGGCGGAGTGCTGTGCAGGACCGGCTCAGAGGAGTGCAGGAGATCGTGCCGAACGACATGTGCTTTGCCGCAATCCTCGACGATGGCTCGGTCGTGACCTGGGGAGAACCCCATGAGGGCGGGGACAGCAGCGCCGTCCAGGAGCAGCTGAATAACGTGAAGAAGATCGCTGGGAACAGGCCAGCCTTTGCCGCCTCGGTCTTAACCTGGGGAGAAGCCGATGAGGCGAACTGCAGCGCCGTCCAGGAGCTGCTTCAGAACGTCTCGCAGATTAAGGCAAATAATACTGCCTGCGCGGCCATCCGAACGAATGGATCTGTAGTCACCTGGGGGCCTCCGAGGTGCGGTGGGGACAGCAGTGAAGTCGGGGAGCAGCTGACGGATGTGGTGGCGGTCCACGCTACAGAGTGCGCCTTTGCCGCCATTAGAGCGGACAGAAGCATCGTGACCTGGGGCCTCAAAGATTTTGGTGGTGACAGCAGCGGGCTTCAGCTCAAGAACGTGCTCCACATCCGGGGTTTCGGGGACACATTCCAGGCCACCACGACGGATGGCTTGGTGGCATGGGGCGGTTCGTTGATCCTTCCACGTCCGACCAGGTCAACACGTTTGGAGCTTCTGCAGCCATTGTCCCCGATGGCACCGTTCGCGCTTGGGGCGACCCGGGGAGCGGCGGGGACATTACAGCCGTGAAGGATCAGCTCAAGAACATCGTGTGTCTCAAGGCGAGCTTCGGCCCATTTGCGGCCGTCCGGAGTGATGGAAGGGTGGTTTGCTGGGGAGAGGAGTTTCCGTGACACCCGCGCTTTCCGCTTAAGAAAAGGCTTCTCCTGCAGTTGTTACGCGTGTCAGTGTGCGGGAGCCCCTTCCTGCCTCTCAGGTCCTTCCGTCCGCAGCTGGTGGCACTGCTCCTTGGGGGTTTCGGACTTCGGGGGTTCCAGGTTTTCTGTGTGAGTGGCCGTGTGCGCGCTGGAGTGTTTGCGTTTACCCACTGTAATCTAGAGTGGTCTGCGCCTCCACCTTTCCCGGTAACCCCGGCCCCGCCTTGTCGCTCAGGTCTCGGTTCTTCGCCGACAACATCTTCGCAAGCAGAGGCCCCTCAACGTGAAGCGCAGCGGGGGTTTCGCTAGGAGTGCAGGCGCCGTGCTGCAGTGGTCTGCCACAGTCAGTTGCTCGGGGCACGTGGAGTATCCACAGGGAGTATCCACAGGGAGTGTCCACAGGGAGTATCCACAGGGAGTATCCACAGGGGTATCCACAGGGAGTATCCACGCGGGTCCCTCCTTCCTCCAATTGGTTGAGAGTGAGCTTGGGCATGTCATAGAGCTTGCAAGCCAAGACGTGTTTTGCGGCAGCAACTTTTGTGACTCCATCTCCCCGGGTGAGAACATGTCAGCTAGCAGTGCTGCTCCCAGCCATGAAGACGAGATCAGGAAGCGGCTTAAAACCGTGAGCAAGAGCCTTTACAACTGGCGCGTGGAGCTGCGTAGCGGTCAGACCCGCAAGGAGGCGCCGCTCAGCGACGAGAAACGTGCCCCGCTGAAGGACAAGGTGGCCAAGGCGGAAGCCGAGCAAAAGCTCTTGCAGGACCGTCTCGTTGCCGACACTGTGTGGTGCTGGCAGGATTACAGCCCGGGAGCCAAAGAACACATGCTGTCACAAGAACTAAGGCAGGTGAGGGAGGACACCCTTCGCGAGCTGCAATTCTTCGAGCCCGCAACCACGCCAACAACACAAATCCAAAAGGCCTACCGTCCTCGATGGCGTGGGCCCTGACGACCCCTTGCTCGACTCGCTGCAGGAAATTTTCGGCTACCTCACCAGTCAGAGCAAGCCTGAGAACCGTAGAAAAATGAGGAGGCTTCACCTGCTGCACTCACCGTGCCAGGCAGGCGAGACTACGGCGAATCGTGACACGCCCACTCAGCAGGTAAATCCCGCGGTTATGCCTACCAGGCCTATTACGACGCCTACCTCACTCAGACCGGGGGTTATCCGTGGAATCACCCCTCAAACCGCTGGCAGCTCCCGCTGTGCCGAGAGAGACGACGGGGGCAGCACCCCTGAGGCGCCAACCACGTCCTACGACCACAAGACGATCATGCCCTTCGACAACACCGAGCTCTACTACCAGACTGAGCCTGCAAATGCCACCTGCGCACCAGAGAAAGTACCAATGCAGGATACACTAGGGGTGGACCCCTCGCATCTTGCTCCTGATTCCACGAGTGCTGTGGCTGTGGTTCCCGGAAACACCATCGACGAAGACCTCGGTATGGAGAATAGGGGCCTGCACCCCCTGGTTGACATCTGGTTGACATCTTCGACGACGTCGCCCTGTCCTTTCCGGACATAAGTGAACCAGAGGAGACCCATGACCAAGTTTCTGATGAGGATGCAGACGGGGACGTTCCCCCGGAGCCCACAAGGTGACCAGCGACACCAACACCGCTCCCCGTACACCTCCTGGCGAACCTCCGGCTTTGACTCCTCAGCAGCGTGCCCGTCTCCACCAGCTCCTTCTGCAACGCGATGACCCCTATGGTCTGGACGAGTACCCGGATGCTGCAAAGTGGAAAGCCTACAGACAGGCAGTCCATGCAGAATATCGGCAAACCCGCCGCGAACAACGACGGCGTGGAGAATGGGAGCCGGACGCAGAGACAGGAAGCAGCGCACCCTGTGAAGACCTGAGGGGGTTTTTATGGCTTTTTCCTTGGTGATTTCCAGGGGGCAACCTCTCAGCTTACAAGCATAGAGGGAGCCCATGGCATTGCTGATTGCACTGGCCTGCATGGTTTTGCCGACTACAGCTCTGTATTGAGTTTTCTCTCCAACTTTGCGAGACACCTAACGGGGGATCCCCCTTTTTTCTCCATTTTCTGTACCATAGTTGACGGGCGCGCCGCAGCCTCCAAAACCACGCATTTCCTGCCTCCTACTTGAGGCATTGTATCATAAGCAGCACCGCTCCGTTCTCCTTTTGTGATGAGAGCCCGCAATCTGCCTCGTTTTGCATTTTCCCTTTCTGGCACCCGCAACAGTCGGGGGTGCACTCGCGCGCGGTACGGGGGGGCAACCCTTCCCACCACAACCCTGGCGAAAGAAAGAGAGTTGTAGGGGGGCAACCCCTACACCACAACCCTGGTGGCGAAAGAAAAAGAACACACTCGCACACATGCCTCAATGCATGCGTACATACATGCATACGTGACTTCTTACTCACCCACAATGTGACAATACCATGTTCTCCACAACCTCCGGCTTTGCCACTCTGTGGCTCAAGATCATGAGCACTTTGTGCGATCTCTAGAAAGAGGTGCTGTGTGACTTTCAGGGCTACTTTGATCTGAGGTTGAGTGAGCAGTGCACGCATTACTTTTAGGGATTGTTTGTTTGCTGTCTGAGTACGCTGCACTTTCGCATGGCAGCGGAGCCAAGGAACTTTGGTGAGAAGACACGGCCTTAGGAGGCGAAGGAGACTTTACAGGAACGCTCCGGCCTTCTTTGCCTGAGACTTCCAGCGGCAATCCTGCAGACTGGGAAGAATGGGCCTGGAACTTTAAAGCCTACATTTCGATGTTCGAGACAGGTGACTTTGCTAGCGAGGGCAGAAGCTAGGAATGATGAATTTCTGGATGAACATGTGGGTGTCTTTTTAGACACGGGTGATGTCATGGCTCAAGATCATGCGCACTTTGTGCGAATCCTGGAAAGAGGTGCTGTGTGACTTTCAGGGCTACTTTGATCTGAGGTTGAGTGAGCAGTGCACGCATTACTTTAGGGTATTGTTTGTGTGCTATCTGAGTACGTTGTACTTTCGCACACAGATACATACATACATACATGCATGCATGCATGCATGCATGCATGCATGCATGCATGCATGCATGCAATGGGTGCATGCATACATGCATGAACGTGGTCTGTGTTGGAGTCTTGCTTTCGCGCCGTGTTCCCTTGTGAGGCCGGTCATCGGAGCCGTTCTTTTTGCGGGCCTGGTGTCGTTGGACTGGGGTGAGGGCAGGCCGGCGATGGAAAGCCCTGAAGTCCAAACCCGATAGACGTAGCAGCCGCCCTCGGGGAGGCGCTTGACAGCAAACACGACGTGTTTCTCACAGAAGGAACTTCACAAAACATAACCCCCCACTGCAGTGCTTGCTGTGGCTTGCGATTGGGGAGGCGAGCCCTAAGCCCGAAAAGCCCCAAGCCGTACGGACGTTGCAGGCACGCCGTGTCGAGGGCCTCGTTGCCCTCCCCGCTCGAGCAGCGGCCGGAGCGGGCGACGTTTGTTTTCCCGAAGCCCGTCCGAAGCGCCGTTACACTGCGTTTCATTGCGATTCGGTGCATGGCAGAGTGGAGGACATTCGCAAGATTGTCGAGAACTCCGTGGTTCTTGCCAAGGCAAGGGCCAGGTGTTTAGATGCAGTGCCTCTCAAGGTATGCCGAGTGGCTGCCTAGGGCCTAGTGTGCCTCAAGAGAAAGCAGTTCATGTCCGCTAAACAGAGCGCAGAGTCTCTCCCCTTTCTTGCGATGTTCGTTCCCGAAGTTGTCCAGGTCACTCCGTCCCTGGTCGACGATGACAACGAGGCACTCGCTCTTGTCCGCAGCAGCAACACCTGATCGACGATTGTGTGCCCCCAAGCCAGGAGGCCGTGGATGCCCTCGAAGCTTCGGAGGCAGTGCAATTGCCATTGACACCGTGGTTCCGAACTGCCGTTCATGGCCCAGGCGGCCTCCTCCACCACCGAGACGGGGGACCTTGCCAGAGGGTTTGACCAAGGCCCTGTGAAGAGCCTGGTACCTCAGAGCTGCAGGAGCTGGCGCTGTCCCGACGAGCAGCTGTGCTTCTCGCGATGGCCAAGGCCAGGCTGTTTGCACACTAGTCCGGGTCCGTCGTGATAGAGAGCAGATGACAGCTCTTCAGAGATTGCTGGAGGAGCTTTCGCATGAACCTGCGAAGCGTGAGAAGATGGACAAGGCAAGTCTGCCAAACTGAAGCGGACATCAGAGGACGGGGAGCGGGGTTTGGGCGGGAAATGCCACAGCCAAGGCAAGCTCGGAGCCAAAGAAAGCAGGGCTGTTGGCGGCCATCCAGGCCAGGGCCAAGGCATGATTCGCTTTACAGCCTGTTGGCGTGCCCTGTCCCGACAAAGGCCGTGGCCGTGGAGAGCACTAACGAGGAGGATCAGGCTCCCGGGTGCATGGGCGAATTCCTGAAGCCACACAAAAGTCTGAAGTTTCCGGGTCAAAATCTAGAATAGCTCAATTTACGCCTCTTCGATTGGATCAAGTGCCAGCTTCTCTGTGGAACTGACATGAGCCGACCACCCCCGCTCGACTTGTATTGTCTCGTCTTACAGGAGGTGGAGGGAGATGGCACTGGCTGGAGCGAGCGCTACAGCAGGATTGAAAGCCAGAGCGCTGCCAGCATTTGTTCTGGTCCGGTGTCGCCTTGCTCGAGTTGCCGAAGCATTCGACTGTAGCTGAGGCTTCTGAGATTTTTCTGATTTTCAGCTTTTGGGGTGTGGCCTTCCACGAAGTCGCCAAAGTCAAAGCTTTGACGAAGGAATTTCTTGGGGAGAGACGTCTCGAAATCTCAGGAAGGCTCCAGACCGGCAACTTTGCCGCTGGCTGCAGGAAGCTGCTCATTTATTGGCCCCCCTGCCGAACGGAGTCGTCCACGTGATAGTGTTTGTAGAGCACTTGGCCCCGCCAGGCCTCCATGGAGCGGGAAGAGCGCAGCGATTCAGCCAAGCATCTTCAACTGCGCCTTGTTCGAATGCGGCTCAGTGGTGAGGCGACGGTTCTGGAAAGCCTTCGAAGCCGGCTCAGGTTCGTGGTGAAGTCCTTGCAGGCCAGGGCCAGCCCCGAAAGAGCCGGGGATCCTGGCGCCAGGCCCGTGTGACGACTCCGAGTCGCCCCGAGGTCTTCAGCGACGCGAGGGACTCTGACCTGACTAACCTGGCCGGTGAAGGACGGGTCCGGTGAAATGGCGCGGGTTGCGCTGGGCACAGGGGCCGGGCGTCAGAGCTCTCGCAGGACTTTCCCAAGCCGTGGAGCAGCTCTGGAGCAAACTGCGATTCTCCGAGGCATTGAGGGAGCCAAAAGCGGAGCTGGAGGGGGTGAGCGACCAAGCTTGTCCGTAGCCCAGGCCAAGGCTCTGAGAGGACGGCTGCTGACGGCCGACCTGTCGCTCGGCTCTGCACAGCTCTGCACAGCTCTCGAGATGTGCCCAAAGGACTTATGCCTTCAGCTGTGCTCTCTGAGGCTGTCGAAGCTTTCCACCAGCTCCCTTGACGGCTTTGATTCGGAAACGTGGCTGAACAAGGCAGGACCCGGCGCGAGCAGGGGCACAGGGGAGCGTAAGACAGCGCGAGCTTGGGTTCGGGAGGCTGCATCGCTCGAGGGTGTTGAGCTTTCATCGCAGAGGGCGAGGCGGGTAGTACATGGTTTCGGCAAGCGTTCCACCCTCTGAGTGCAGGCTTCTTCAGGGGCTTTCTAGCAGCCGACGCCGATCGGCTAGGCATGCATGGGGCAAGCTGAAGCGGTGCAAGTTGTGAAGTTGTCAGTGGCACAGCGGCTTCAAGTTAGAGGGCCGATGGAGGCTGCTAGCAGCGCTTCTGCGGAGATGGAACCACGAAAGCGTGGGGGATCAGGACCGTCACGCCAAAGCAAGCGTTACGCCTCACGCTGACACTAGCCACGAACCTTTGCTTGGAATTTTTGTCAGATCTTGCACCATAAGTTGAAGGAACTTCTGTGGACTCAGAAGGCCGTGGAGTCCTTGCAAAAGGCAAGGTTCCTAGCTCTTATAGACCTTTCTGGAGCACCGCCGGCCGCCCACTTGGCCGTGGAGGCGTGGACCTCGGCAGATTGTCCGGAAGCATGGGTCAGCTTCGCCAACGTCGGCAGGATTAGTGGCCTGATGAACTTGGGACGCTTGCTTCCCTGCCCAAGTCATCCGCCCATTGCCCATTAAGGCAAGAGCTGCCTGGAGATTGCTAAGAAGTGTGGCTGGTGGCACTGGCAGAAGCTTCTGTTTCCTGTTTCTGAGCTTTAACCTGCGCAATTTTAGGACGTGCTAGGACCATCCCGGCTCTCCTTGCAATCCTGGCCGAGGTGAGAACCAGAATCGGCCGAAGTCCTCGCAGAGCTTCCGTGAAATCGCGCACAAGCTACAGACTGAAGTCTTCGCCTGGCGACTCTCGGCAGTCAGACAGTCTTCTGGTCCTGGTGTTGCGAGGGTCAAGTTACTGGCGACCAGCATCGGAATCCCGCCATGCTTGGACATGCTTGGACTGTCAAAGGCCTGGGGCACGCCCTGGCATCTGCGACGCCAAAGGATTTCAGCCAATACGATGCATTGCAGCTGGAATCGGAGCAGATGACGAGCGAGGCCTGGTGTCCAGCCGTGTGTTGCAGCCGAAGCCTACGCTGGCGAGCTTTTTCGCCAGGAAGCCGGCTTGGTGATTCTTCGCCAGAGTGTTGCATGGAAGTTGCTGCAGCACCTGAAGCTCCAGGGCCCCAAGTCGATGCTCGGAGTGAATTGGATCAAGAGAGAACTGGTTTGCTCATGGCGAGCAGGGTTGTGTAGTTTCGACTGCGACCTGAGGGGCGACTTGGATTTCACCATTGCAAGCCAGGCATGGCATCATGCTGCGAACTTGCCACGGTTAGAATGTAATAGAAACCAGCTTGTGAGAAGCAGGAATCGATCGAGGATTTTGCCAGGGTCATGACGGCACTTCGTGCCGTTCGTGAGGGTGAGGCCCCTGCATGTTGCAACGCGTTGGAAGTGCAGATAGCACACGACTTGCAGAACTGCCGGGCATGTTCCTCGTGCCACAGAATAGTTGAAGTGGTGGTAGCATGCTTGTGTAGGCAGGAGTTGTTGCGGGTGGGTGCCAGAAACAGGAGCTGTCACATGCAGCGGATGATTTTCTGCGGCGCTCCGCAGCTGAGAGAGCCCGACCTGCTTTCATATGCTTTCACCCACACAACGTGTGAATCCTTTTCTGGCATAGAATAGGCATTGATATGCAGTGACACATTGACAGGCCAGAAGTCAGAGTCCCCAGACGGAAGCAATGCATCCTTCCACGACTATAATTACGGCCATGACCAACACGAAAGCCCTGGTGTGCTGGGACCCAGAAGCCCCCCCAAGCACAGGTTGCTTGCCTTCAGTTGCCGCGCTGGTCCATGCGACGGAGAGCGTGAGTGTGCCAGGAGGAGCCGTCCTCTCACGCTCACGCCGCTCCCTCTCTCCCTCTCCGTCTCCCTCTCTGTTTTGGCCTCTTCGTGTGGGGAAGGCCGAAGGCCGAGGCGTCAAGTCGGAGTCTTATGCACCACGCAGATCCTGTGCGGGTGGAACGCTTCCACGCATCGGAGCAGAACCTCCACGATTGCTTGAAGACGAGGCCCAATATAAGTATACTTAGTGTAGTGTATGCGAATAGTATCCCAACAACATCTCAGTGCCAGGTTGAGCTCGCACCTCGAAGTGAAGCTCGGCAACTGGTCGCTTCCGTCGCTTCCACAGCGTCAGTGGGAGCAGGTGCTCCTGACCGCGCCAGCCTTTGGATGCGAGTGAATGCACAGTCGTCGTGCTGATAAGAGTTCCTGGAAGGAGCTTCAGACCCGGATTTCGGAGTCGAGCCAGATCCTGAGGGCAGCCAAGCCTGTGAGGCACAGTGTCCTCAGCTGATGCCCTGTTCAGATGCAGGCAACCAGCTCAACATCCTCATGAGACTTGGCTTTCAATAAGTGCTTTCTTCAAGAGGTAATCAGGGCGGAGAGTAACGATTCAGGCTTGTAGTAACCTGTGTGACCAGGCAGTTTTCGCTCGTTTGGCTCACCGTCGGAGCGGGTGCACGTGTACAAAAAGTACCGTCGCTGTGCAGCCATGGGCGGTGGCGACGGAGAAACTGCGCCCTTACAGATTCCTGGTGCCGTCTCTGACGGCTGCCCGGCTTTCGCAGATGGCTGCCCCTACAGCAAGAACGACGAGATGCTGGAGTGGATCAAGGCGCCTTGCAGAAAAGCGTCCGGCGTGTTGGTTCCATGCCGAATGCACCATGGGTTGCGTGTCTGACAGGAGAAGCGATCTGATGCTATCGGCGCTTGCCCTGCCTTCAAGGAAGGGTCCTCCACCCGGTTGGTCATGTCGCTGTCATATACTCGCATTTGGTGAGCTGCGCTGCTGATTTTGGCCAATGGGTGTTGAGGCTTGTTCCCTCAATCAGGTGCCCCTTTACGGATGCCAGCGACATCACGAAACTCCAGGCCCGGATGCCCAGCATGGTGGGGGGGTGGGGTGGTGAAGGGGAGCTGCGAGACTTCTTTTAGGCTCAGCTTGCTGCACTTCCCCCCAGCCATGCCGGCGAGGCCGGGGAAAGGGGCATGAGGTCAAGCTGGCTGCCAGTTCCTATCAGTCTGCCGTGCCATGCCACGAATGTCGAGCTTTAAGACAAGACACAGCATCACTAGCTGCCAGTCGCAGGGCTCACCATGCTCATACCGCATAGTGTGGCATGTAGGCTGAAGGGGTACATGCTTGCTTGAATTTGCACCGCTGCTGCGATGCTAGCAGACTTGGAGCCACTAGGGCGCAACGAGTTTCGCCATGCCGGGGCTTCAGCGCTTGGCTTACGCTATGGTGCTGTGCCGCCGTGTTTCTGCAAGAAACTTGGAAATTCGTTCCGGGGTGTCGGGGCGATGACTGCGTCAAAGAGCCACCCCGTGCTGCAGATGCTCCGACTAGGCCAACATCAGAAACTGGCGGCCTGGGTTTCAGCTACGGTCCGTAGCCGACTCGCAAGCTCATGGCAGTGCGCCTGTATGAGACCCAGCCAGGGTTCCACGGCACGGAGTTTCTCAACCACGGGCCAGAAGGTCGTGGCTGGCATGGCGACGGCCTTCGGTTTGGGGGTTTGGGTATTCGCGAGCTACAAAATCTGTGTCTGTGAGTGTCACATCCGAAGTGGCAAAGCTTATATGGAGCGCGGCCCGGAGCCCTGAGGTTTGAGGCCCTTGCAGTGTCACCAGGCCACAGTACCGAATCAAGCACCAGGCAAACCTGAACCTGAAATTCCAGAGCCCATCAAGTCGCCATGGCCTCCGACCTGTGCTGTCGGAGCTGCGCCGCCGCAGCGAATCTCGCCTGCATTCTGAAGTGCTGCTCAACAACTTCCATGGCAGATCAGCGGTCCAGGGCGTGTTAAGCTCAAGCCTTGCAAGCCTCCAGCCCTACATTCCGAACTCGCATCACCCGATATCTCAGGGCTGGAAACCTTTGTGAATGTGGGGATGGGGGTTCCCTTTGAGTAATTTTTCATATATTGAAAAATATATTTGGTATTTTTGGTTTGCTCCTGAATGGCTTCAAGCGCCGAGTCAGCCAGTCAGTCGGTCAGTCGACCCACGAGCCCGCCAGTCAGTCAGTCGGTGCGTCGGTCGGTAAGCGAGCATGCCGGCTTGTCAGTCAGTAAGGCGGTCGATCGGTTGGTCCATGCGCTAAGCGCCGGGCAGTCAGTCAGTCGGACGGTCGGCCCGCCATGGTTCCAGTTTTATGAACCGATATCGCCGAATGAGGGGATATAGGATGTTCCGGAATCGCCAAATGACGGGGCATGACCAACCTTTGTGATGAGCCTTTATCGCCAAATGAGGGGGCGTGTTCAAGATATGTGAGGAACCGCTATCGCCAAATGCGGGGGCGTGTTTAAGATATACGATGAACCGGAAGCGCCAAATGATGGGGGCATGTTCAAGATATATGATGAACTAGATGCACCAGATGAGGGGGCGGCGTGTTCGAGATACGTGGCGGACCGGAACTGCCACACCTGAGGGCGTGTTTAAGATACATGATGTGCCGGAATCGCCAAATGAGGGGTGTGTGTAACATATATGATCGCCAGAAATCGCCAAACGAGGGGGCATGCTTAAGACATGGGATAAACCGGACTCGTCACATGATGGGGCGTGTTAAACATGTATGAGGAGCCGGAATCGCCGAAAGAGGGTGGCATGTGTAAAATATATGGTCAAGAGCCGGAATCACTAAATGAGGGGCGGCGTGTTTAAGATATGTGGTGAACCGGACTCGCCACATGAGGGTGCGTGTCTGAGATATAATTGTGGTGAGTCGGAGTCGCCAAACGAGGGGGCATGTTTAAGAAATAGGATAAACTGAAATCGTCACATGATGGGGCGTGTTAAACATGTATGAGGACCGGAATCGCCAAAAGAGGGTGGCGTGTTTAAAATATATGGTGAACCGGCATCGCCAAGTGAGGGGGCGTGTTTAAGATATATGATGAACCGGTGTCGCCAAATGAGGGGGCATGTTCAAGATTTATGATGAACCGATATCGCCAAATGAGGGGGCGTGTTTAACATGTATGATGAGCCAATATCTCCAAAGAAGAACCGAAGTCGCCAAAGGAGGCTGGCGTGCGTAAAATATAAGGTGAAACGGAATCGCCAAATGAGGGGGCGTGTTTAACATATATGATGAGCCAATATCTCCAAGTGAGGGGGCGTGTTCAAGATTATATGATGAACCGGAACCACTAAATAAAGGAGCGGCGTGTTTAAGATCTTTGGTGAACCGGAATCGCCAAATGAGGGGGCGTGTTTAAGATACATGGTGAGCCAATATCTCCAAATGAGGGGGCGTGTTCAAGATTATATGATGAACCGGAATCACTAGATAAAGGAACGGCGTGTTTAAGATATGTGGCGAACCGGAATCGCCAAGTCAGGGCGCGTGTTTGAGATACGTGGTGAACCAGTGTAGCCGATATCCCCCACTGCACGACGTCAAATCCAAGCTGGTCCATGCCGAGGCAGCTCGGACATGCGTGTGGGTGTGGGTGTGGTGCCATGCGTGTGGGTGTGGGTGTGGTGCGGTGGGGCGGGGTGCGGTTGGGGGGGAAGACGTAGGATGGGGCTTAGATGGGCTTAGGTAGGGCAACGTATTTCCATCGGTTGCTATCGGCGCTTGTGGTTTCTTCTAGTTGCCAGTACGTCTCTCGGGCTGGGTTTGGGGTTGACGGAAGTGACAAGAACTTTCGACGGAAACAGTCCTGTTACATCAGACCTTACTGAACGCACATCGCCGATGCAGATGCACGATCTTTGAGCCACGCAGACTTGTGACATCCTCATGAGGTCCTCATGTTGCCGGGCTAGAACAGTTTTACCACGTCCTGTGGTGTCAAGGCAGCACGTGCAGCAGCATTTGACGATGCTGCTTGCACGAGATACATCAAGCTTTGGTCCGAAAAAGGCGTGCAGGACTGGCGAACTGCTCGTTTCGTCAGGCATATGAGCGATCGCGAAACTTTTTGAGTGTTCTTGCAAATGCACGCCATCATGTGGATGCTCTTTTGACTCGTGCCTCAAAGATTCTCTCTTGTCCCCATGTCCTTATCCTACAGCCTACCCCTCTGTGTTGAACCGGCAGACTGCAATGGCACTGACCGTGGAGGTTGCGCGCCTTGACGGTCACGTGGCGGCCTTGCCCATCCTAAAATCCTAAAACTTAGGTGATGACGAGCATATGCATGTCCAGCGGGGCTGAAACCTGTGGCAGTTGCCCTGCACATGCTAAAGATCTTGTTTCCGGGAGCTCTCAAGCCTGAAGTGTTTCAGGCTCCGTGGTGCAAAAGCTTGTGCCACCAGAGGAGACGGTGCTTGGCCTCAAGAGCCGCTTGGACAGCTCATTTTTGCAATGCTCTGTTCCTTTCGGTCCAGGTGGATGGTTGCGAACAAGCGAGCAAGGTGTGTTCATCGCGCTTGGGTGCTTCCTCCTGCCGAGGATTGCTGGCAAGTGACGCGGGCCTTTCCACTGCCCAGTTCCGATTGTTGCTTGACGATCGGGCCCTGCGACGCTCGGTGGCCCCAGACGGGAAGGTAACGGCAGCCTATGGATCCCGCGTTGTGGCTTCCGAGGAAATGAGCTGTGCCTTTCAGCAGTGGCGACAGACGACATACTGTGGTCTAGCTGCAGTCGGCAGGCAGCAATTGCACAGTCAGCGATCCCAGTGGGGCCAGCCACAGCTTTGGATACTGAACAAGGTCACTGCAGTTCGTATCTGTTCCCGTGCAGCGAGCTGGATCGACGATTAGCCCCGCTCTCAGTGGATATTCCTGGGCTTTGTTCTTGCGTAGTTTCGGCCAGAGAGGTTTTGAACTTCGCATCTACATCTGCCTCAGGTTTTGTGGCCTCCTCTAACATGGACCCCTGCTCCGGTTGGGCAATTGCTGCTGAGGCAAGTGTCACAAGTTGCTGTGTCGGCTACTGTAGTGTTTTCACAGCTCGAAGACGAACATGTCGTCGCGATTCGGATGCGATTGTGAAACCTCAGTCGTCTTTGCCTGTCGCTGCGCGCAGCCAGGGCGTGATCCAAGCGCTGCGGACGGTCGGAGTGGAGCAGGGCCAGGCTCAGCTCGTTCTTTAGGTCACGAGGATTTCGCAAAGAGGCATCCTCTAGCCGATAGTTGTGAAGGAACTTGGGCATGCACAGGAGAACGAGCACTGACAAATTGAAGACAATGCTGAGCTGAGATCAAAGGCTCAGTGCAGCAACTTGCTACCACTTGAAATGTGCTTTACGCCTGGTCGTATGACTGTTGCTGCAAGCCAATCCTGCCGCTTGTAAAGCCCCAGCGGCAGTCTTTCAATCTCGGAGCGGGCATGCTGTGGCCAAGTTCCTCAGAACAGGGCTGTGTTCTCCAC